AACTGTGCAACACGTGCTGCTCGAGACATTGTGAACCGGGTTTGGTGTTCATCTCTTCTCGGGCTTCGGTTTGGCAAGGCTAAATGAGAGACACGGTACAGACACACAGTTAGTAAGCACGGAGCAGGGCAGCAACAATATGAGTTTGTTATTCTCTCAAACCTAAGACGCATCATCCAAACCGTAATGGTACACTTTAAGATCTGAGCATGCTCACTGTGTTCTGCAAATGACTGTTCTAAAATGGAAAAGTGAGCAGTATATCTGATTTCAACCAAACAAGGTTTCCAATGAAGCTATCTATTTCCTCTTACAGAGCTGAATGAAACAATGCTTCAGGGGCCCAGGTAATTATTTTAAGTGTAATTGGAGAATTCAATTTTGATGGCTACACTGCAACATTACTTTTGCTCTAGCTTCCCAAAGCAAGAGGCTCTCAGCTATCACAGACAACAGTAAGAAAGAAATCAGAAGGCCTGCAGTATAGCTCAGCGGACTAAGTGCTTGCTTAGGTAAGTGCAGGGGCCAGGGTATGATCCCTGGTACCACATGCTGCACCAGCCCTGTCCCTAAGGTGTGCTGAGCCGGCAATGGAGTCTGGGTGTTGTGGCTCATGCCTGTAATCCCAGCACTAGGGTGGCTGAAAACAGGAGGATCACTACAAGTCTGAGCTGTGTAGTGAGACCCTGCTCGAAAGAAAGAGAGAAGGAGAGAGGAAAGGAGGGAAGGAGGGAGGGAAGGAGGGAGGGATGGAGGGAGGGACGGAGGAGAGAGAAAGGGCCATGTGCCAAAAAGTCATATCCTGTAAGAGGCTTCAGTTCGTGGGCACTTACACTTCTCTGAAATTCAAATAATAATAGTCCCATTTTTCCAGAAGAGCAATATCAAACTGCATTTACTTCAGGGTGAGTAAAAGGGGACACATCATTTTAAATTCTTAATATATGAGAAGACAGGACTTTAATGACTTGTTGGTAATTTCTATTTAGAGATGGAAACTAAGGCCAAAACATTTTGCTTAAAAATGTTGTTGTTTTACTTTAAAAAATGCACACATTTAAATCCTGAAACAACTGTTCTTCTTCCTTTTCAAGTATTTACTTCTCCTTAGTGACACCTCATATAATTGCAGGGTTCTCAGCAGCATTTCCTGGTGCAAAATTGAATAGCCAAGTGTCTGAGAATCAAACCTACACAGCCTCAAAACTTCAGGCCCTCCCTCTGCTGCTGGCTACCAACTCACAAGCTCAGGAGGGCTTCTTAGATACAAAGCCACCTCAACTAAGATAATCAGATCTCTGTATGTGCCAAAGATGATGCAGCAAGTAAAAGAAGAAATTAATACAAACTTAAGACACTTTACATTTGTTATTAGATTCCTTATGGATTTAAATTTGTGATTTAAAACTTGCACGAAGGCAGCTTTTGCATTTCATATCCTCCATAATTTATAAACAGACGAGGGATTCATCTGACTTCTAACGTTCTTTCCTAGAGCTATTTATCAATAATTAAGATATTTTTGTGACTACTATACAATGTGTGAAAAAGGAGCCGTGTTTCTTGGGTATGCCAGTGACTGAAACTATTCAGCCGAACATCAATCTCTGGTCACTTTTCAAATATGGCACTCACTTTGGTCCATGTTGTGTTTAACCAAGAATGTCAGACAGACCAGCAGAGGTGGGAGTACTGTCCTGGGAGGGAAGAAGAGTGGGGGAGACAAACAGATGGTGGACAGACAGACAGAGTGGATGCTAGGTGGGGAAGATCCTGTGAG